TTAATTTCCGACAATGTCTGTAACGACCCGATTTTATAACCCAATTTTTTTTTAAAACTTTATTAAATGTAAATATTAGTTAAGTTTCCCAATTCAAAATGCGGAAATAATCAATAATATATTTTCATCGGAAACATTACATCACCTTCTACTTTAATCCATAATTCATATAATTATCATTTGTTTCAATTACAACACTGTTAAAGGTAATATGCTAATTCTTATTACATCTTTTGAAAGAGATCATTTATACAACATAGTTACTTCAACATATTCCTCATATTACATACATTATACAAATACAATTTTGGAATACAAAAACGACTACTCCAGTCTATACTCCCATCAGCAAACATCCACAACGCAACAACAACATCCTGAACTCATATATAACATATAGACAAGGAAAAGCAGAGGGAGTAAGAACCAACTACGGCGACCGTAGCGTGGATGGGCAGGTCACAATTCCATACCACGAAGGGCAGGTCTAAATTCCATACCACGAAGGGCAGGTCACAATTCCATACCACGAAGGGCAGGTCTAAATTCCATACCACGAAGGGCAGGTCACAATTCCATACCACGAAGGGCAGGTCAATCTCCATACCACGAAGGGCAGGTCAATCTCCATACCACGAAGGGCAGGTCAAACTCCATACCACGAAGGGCAGGTCAAACTCCATACCACGAAGGGCAGGTCAATCTCCATACCACAACATCAATCACAATATAATATTTCCACTGCATTATTCTAACATTGCAACTTCCTCAAAACACAAGACACCACATCAATGTCATAAACATAATGTATCTCATATCCTACCACAACAAAACCACTGACAACATCATCATCACATAATATAATTATGTGCATTTATCACCAACAAGCGGTTCATCACAAAATCATTATTACAAATAAACCCACATATGTTTATAGCAAATAAGCGACTCACAACTTAATCATTTTCATAGACATACTCGTCTCCACATTTAACAAATCAACAACTCATCACACAATCATTGATACAAACACACCCATATATGTTTATAGAAAATCAACCATCCATAACACAACATTATCATAAATAAACCACACACAACATATTCTTCATCATATAACACATTAACGTTAGAACCATCTTCTCACATGGGCCATAAACACCCAAAACAGTTTCTATCCGTTAATATGCTCCGATTCTTGAGGGAAATCGGAGAATGATGACTCTAATGAATTACTCTAAGACCACAATGGTCTTCTCCCTCACCTTAGGTTGCGTAAGCTCCGTTGCTCCGCAAAAGAGCCACATCTCCCTTCATCTCCTCCAACCTCCATTGTTGCTTTTTCACCTCCAAGCTTTTCCAAATGTGTGACCATGAAGCAAGAGGAAGGTTTTGATGAGTTTTGAGGCTTAGTGGAGGTAAAAATGGTCCATTTGGGTGGAGCCACTGTTGGGAGAGAAATGGGGAGAAAGAAAATGAAGATTAGGGTTTCTAGGTCCCCTTTTATTCACTTTTATAGTCACAGCGATAAGTGTAATCGATTACAAGTATAGTGTAATCGATTACACAGTGTAAATTACAGAGGCATCTTCGCGATGTAATCGATTACCAACATGGTATAATCGATTACATTAATACGATATAATCGATTACCAGAAGTGTGTAATCGATTACCCAGTGTAAATTACAAAGGCATTGTCGTGATGTAATCGATTACCAACATGGTGTAATCGATTACATTGTGTCAGATGTACATATCTGTTGCTTTTCATCATGTAATCGATTATCAGGACTGTGTAATCGATTATATTACCCAAAATTGCCAAGTATAGCCCGAGATTTCACCCTCCCAGGTGAACCTTTCTCGCTCAAGCGAGTACCTCTCGCTCAAGCGAGGATCTGAGGACTGATACTATAATTTTAAAGACTTAAAATTTGGGGTGTTACAATGTCGGACCTATGTTCTTAATTTAATTCATTTTCCCAAATTTTGGGAGTATCTCAACAAGCATCTTTGGTATTTTTGTTTCCCTTCTTTCTGACAGTAGCCTTACCTACAAGTTGTGTTGATGTTTGTTGCAAGGAAGAGCATCATGTAAAACCAACCAAGACAATATTTTCACTTTATCCGAGGTCTTGGCTTTCCAGATGTGAGACCAAGTATAAGTGAGAGGGATGGTAAAAAGAATCTTATGATAATGAAATAACTATAGGCTTATAAGCATTTTCAGAATTAGACGCTAAAATATTATGAAGTTGTTGGAATTAGATGTTAGAGCATTCTATCAAAAAAATCAGAATTAGACGCCAAAATGTTACGACATTGCTAGACTTATATGTTGGAGCTTTCTTTCAAAAAACATTTTCGGATTTAGATGCCGAAATGTTATGACGTTGTTGGATTTAGACATTAGAGCATTCTTTAGAGAATAGTGCATGATTTCCCCAACCAGGGTTGTATGTGCTCGATGATGAATCGTAATTTTGCTGCTGTTGTGGAGGTCTGTTGTTGTAGACGTTTGCAACATAAGCTTCAGGATGGTCACTAGTAAGGTTGGAAACAGGTCAGATCATATCAGGCTTTGCCTTAAACAGGCCAAGCCTATATAGTATATAAGAGTTTGGGTCTGGCCTGTTAGCCTATTTAAAAGATTTCAAAGCCTAGGTCTGGCCTGTTTAAAAGTATGGTCTGGCCTGTTAGCTTGTTTAAAGGCTTATTAAGAAATTATGTACAAACTAGAAAAACAATTATAATTATAGAAATTAGTGTGAATTTTTTTGCATTGTTATCACAATTATTTTCATCATCTTTCAATGTAACATAATGTATTCGAATGATTTGTGGTGTCTTTGAGGTTAGAATATACACAACAATGTCTTTTAATATCATAGTAAAATATGATATTGTTCTAATATTTAACATGAGTTGGGTTATGTACTTAAGCCCAAGTCTCAACAATTAAATATTCAAGTATTAAATAGCTTAATCTCTAAGTCCCACTGGATTTACATAAAAAATTTATTATTTAGTTTTTTTACATATTATAAAAATAATTTATAAATATATAATAACATTACATAGGTCGACCTGTTAGACTTAATAGGCTTTTTAAAAGGCCTGAGCTTGACCTATTTTGGTTAAATAGGCTTTTGGAGAAGACCGAGTCTGGCCTGTTTACAAAAAAGGCCTCCACTGGACTGACCTGTTATAGGCCAGGTAATAGGCCCCTAATAGGCGGTCTAGCGTGTTTCCATCCTTAGTTACTAGTTATGATTTCCATAGACTCTTGTAAGTGAAGGTTTTTGCTGATTCATGGCTAACTGAGTGATCAAGGTGGAGAGGGAATCAATTTCGCTCTTAATATTGTCTTGTCTTGCTACATTTGTCCCAACATCATGGATACTTCTGACAACTATAGCATCACTTCTCCTTCCATTGAATTGTTGAGAATTGGAAGTCATCTTCTCAATCAAACTTTTGGCTTCTAAAGGAGTCATGTCTCCAAGTGCACCACTAGCAACATCAATGATACTTCTATCCATGTTATTCTGACCCTCATAAAAATATTTAAGGAGGAGTCACTACGCCAGATATATAAATTAACAGCGCACAATTTCAAGGATAAAACAGCGCTTCTGGACGCTGTCTATGTGAGTGAAGTAGTAGATGATATGTTTTAACAGCGCTTATGCGGATGCTGTTGTATGTCAAATATACAAAAATGTCACCTCCAACAAGCGCTGTTATATATGTATATGACTTTTAACAACTCTCATCACGAGTGCTGTTGATATGTCACACTTAACAACACTCATTTAACCGCACTCATATTAAATAATGCAAGATATCTTTCAGACATTTTATCAAACACATAAGAAGCTTCAATATAATAAGAATGAAATCAAACTATTGCGTGAATATGTCTCTGTTAACCATATGCAGTAATGAAAAGGACGAATGTAATGAAGATGTAGAGGACAAATCCATGATTTTCTACTATCCCTTAACCGAAGAAATAAGAGGACATAAAGATATGGTCAAATTCAATATAATAAGAATGAAATAAAAAATTACATAGAAAATATGAATGAAAAATTAATAACCAAATACAAGAAATACATATCGGGATTGCAAGTTTGGTAAATCAACAACAACTTCACGTAGATTCAACATTGACATTTCCTGTAATATAAAATAAGAAGATAACGTATATGTCAATGCAAGAATAAAAGATGAATCAAAGAGAATGATTCATCTTATGCTCAAATAGAGAAAACGTGTGCTAATAACTTGTTTGAAGAGAGAAACTGAGAGAAGAAGAGTAAGAGCTGAATGATATGTGTATTATTGTGTATGAGGTTTTGTTTTTAAATCTACAAAGATTCACTCGTACAAAAAAAAATGTATGACTTTTAACAACACTCTCTAAAAATACGCTGTTAAATGTGTGACTTTTTAGTTACTCTAACATTATCAAAACACATTAACTATAAAACTTGTATAATAAAAAAGCAATAGTAAAAAATGTTTTATTTTTAATTTCAGGGTGCACCTTTCTAATGTAGTGAGAAATGTGCACCCTGAAATTAAAAAAAAACATTTTTTACTATTTCTTTTTTATTTTACAAGTTTTATAGTGAATGTGTTTTGATAATGTTAAAGTAGCAACAACACATATTGTAGCAAGTGTTGTATAAGATAAAAAATCAACCTCGAATATTGAAGATTGTATTGTAGAAGATATCTCATCAACAACGTAAACAAAAAACAGGCGTTGTTAAATATATTCTTATTAACAGCACAACGAAAAAGAGCGTTGTAAAGAGTGCACATTTGCGGTTGTGTTGTTGATGTTATATTCGCCTATCAATATTAATAGCGATTTCTTAAAGATGTGCTGATTATTTTCCTTTGCCTCGAATTTAACAGCATTATTCTAGGATGCGTTGTTGAAAAATCACTTTTAAAGACGTTTTATGGCGTAGTGAGTTGCGCAGAGATCTGATGATGAGGGCAATATGCACACGATCTCTTAAACCTCTCCCAACACTCATATATGCTCTCACCATGTTGCTGCCTAATTCCAGAAATGTCTTTTCTGATTGTAGTGGCACTGGAGGGTGGGAAGAATTTACCAATGAATGTGCTCTTCAAGTCACCCCAACTTGTAATGGATCCAGGAGCCAAGTAATACAACCATTCTTTTGCAGGGCCTTCGAGTGAATGAGGGAAAGTATAACGATCCAAATTCTAGCCTCGAATATTTTTTTCTTTTTTTATTTATTCTTTTTACATACATTCTCCTATTCTAACAATTACATTTTAACATATTCATTCCTTGTTGCCTTATTCACATTCGTTCGATATAACAGAAAATCATAAGTCATATATTTCTTTCCTCGGTAATTACCGCATATGAATAGTTATGGGTTTCGAAAACACCCATAGCTGCTAATATCCAGTATTACACAAAAATGTAGTATATCAAATAGTTATGAATACAATCATCCAAGTAACAATCTACATCACAAAAAGCAAAATAAAGGATCCAAGTCCTAAGCTCCTAAGGCCCCGAACTAAGCATCCTCAACTATCTTGTTTACCTGCAGAGGATTATCAATGGCAAATACAAGCAACAAACAAAGGAGTAAGTCATCAAAACAACAAATACCATTATGAGATAATCCACATTTTGAAGGGGTTAGTAAATCATTTTGAAATTAACTTTCTTTGCTGCATAACTTGAGCCGAAGTCGCTACACCCTTTAAGTGTAGCTAAAAATAGATTCCCTTTTCTTTAAAGACGAAAACGTGCTACATGTACTCGAGTCGGAGTCTCGCTTATATACTCAAGTCAGAGTTTCGCTTATATACTCAAGCTAGAGTTTCGCTTATATACTCAAGCCAGAGTTTCGCTTATATACTCAAGCCAGAGTTTCGCTTATATACTCAAGCCAGAGTTTCGCTTATATACTTAAGCCAGAGTCGTTAACCATTCATGGTCGGCTAAAAATATATTTTCCTTTCCTTGATTTCACCATTTCTCATTTCCCGTAAATCTACGCCCACTTTATTATAAACACACCCATATATGTTTATACTAAATGCGTAATTCACAACTCAATCATTGCATAACCAGAAAATACACACATTTTCCATTTCCCGTAAATCTACGCCCACTTTAGTATAAACACACCCATGTATGTTTATACTAAATGCATAATTAATCATTGCATAACCAGAAAATACACACATTTTCCGTTTCAAATGCACAAATAAAGACTTATCCTTACCGCGGTGAGTGTTAGGTTTGGTTCTTGGCAACTTCACAAGTTCCACCGACACCGCCGCCAACTTTAGGATCTTTCCTCATCCCCACCATATAACACAATGTTAGTCATTTATTCCAAATATCATATAAACAACTTATATTGCATTATTTAACCATACAAGATATTTAACACATTTTCAATGTTTCAAAACTACTTCCATCATAAGTTTACAACATCTAAAACATACATCTTAATCACATATTTCAACATCAGAATGCTTAATCATCTTCTACCTCTAGCATTTTACTCATTTTCCTCTTTAACCACATTTTCACTTTAGGGTTTTGGGGTACTCATGAATCAACCCACAAACCCTTTCCATTCTTGAAATACTAACTCTAAACCAAGAGTTTACAAGATAAAAACAACATAAAACGAACCATAACTCAAAAGGATGAATTTCCATGGTTTCTCACATTTTGAGAAGAGATCCAACATACCCAAAATGAGTTTCAAAGAGAAGAAGAGAGTTAGAATCAAGAGTTTTACCTCTTCTCAAGCTCTTGGATGAGTATTAAAGCTCCTTGCCCTTGGAAAAGCTCTCTTCTCTCACCTCTCTTCAATTCTTAACCCTAAAATGTGTTTGGGGTTTCTCATTAAATGTTGTCTCATCGGGTTCTCGCTTAAGCGGGCTCTTTCTCGTTCAAGCGAGAAAATCCCGCCCATTTTAAAAATTCAGATCTGACCCTCTCGCCCAAACGAGGCATCTCTCGCTCAAGCGAGGATCCTCTCACTCAAGCGAGAATCTTACAGCTTCGACAGGTCCAAAATGTCACTTTTCTCGCCCATGCGAGCCAACTCTCGCTCAGGCGAGAATTCTTCCGTATAGTCCAGGATTTCATCCTTCCAGTTTAGCCTTTCTCGCCCAGGCGACACCACTCTCGCTGAAGCGAGACAACTCTCGCTCATGCGAGAATCCTTCAGTATAGCCCAGGATTTCACCCTCCCAGGTGAGCCTTTCTCGCCCAGGCTAAAATCCCTCTCTCAAGCGAGAATCCCAGGACTGATACTATAATTTTAAAGACTTAAATTTAGGGAGTTACAATCCTCCCCCTCTTATAAGAATTTTCGTCCCCGAAAATTAAACATACCTTGATTCCACCTCCCAAGTAGCATCCCCTTCGTCTACTTGGCTCCACAATACTTTCGCTAAAGAAATTTCTTTGCCCTTTAGCCTTTTGACACTAGTATCCATGATTCTCACTACAAACGTTGTAAAAGTCAAATTATCCTTCAACTCTATCTGATCAGACTCGACAATAACGGAGGTAAAGTAATTCGATATGCTACCAGCCCAATTCTCTTTAACACTTAATACGGCCCAATAAATCGCGGAGTCAGTTTACGAGACTTCAACACTCTACCAATTCCGACAGTCGGGACTACTCACATGAAAACATGATCTCCCTCGTTAAACTCGAGATGTTTCCGCCTTTTATTATAATAGCTTTTCTACCGACTATGGGCGATTCTCATATTCTCCCTGATCTTCTTGATCTTGTCCATCGTCTCTTGGACCAGCTCGGGTCCCAATATCAAGTTCTCCCCAGTTTCAAACCAACTCACTAGAGTTCGGCACTTCCTACCATACAATGCCTCAAAGGGTGCCATCCCAATACTCGAATGGAAGCATTTGTTCTAGGTAAATTCAATCAAAGGCAACATGTCATCCCAACTCCCCGGTTGTTCCAAGACACAAGCACTCAAAAGATCCTCCAATGACTGTATTGTCCTTTCCGATTGACTGTCCGTTTGTGGATGATAAGCTGAACTCAACTTCAACTTAGTTCCCAATGCGGACTGTAAATTGTTCTAAAAGTTTGAAGTGAAACGGGGGTCCCTATCCGATACAATGCTTGACGGTATCCCATGCAAACGAACAATTTCTCGGATATAAAGTTCCGCCAATCGTTCTAGGGAGTATCTCATGTTCATCGGCAAGAAATGAGCAGACTTAGTCAACCGATCCACTATTACCCATATCGAGTCGTATCCTTTCTGAGTCTTCGGAAAACCCGATAAAAAATCCATGGAGATACTATCCTACTTTCATACGGGAATTTCTAGGGATTGTAACTCTCCTGCTGGTCGTTGATGCTCAATCTTGGCTTTCTGACATATCAAACAACTCGAGACATATGAAGCTACATCTCTCTTCAACCTAGACCACCACAACAATTTCTTCAAATCTTGGTACATCTTCGTCGTTCCCGGGTGAAAACTCATCTTGCTCTTATGGGACTCCTCAAAATACTATTTTTTAATTCCTCATCAAGAGGCACACACACTCTCCCTTTATAACGCAACATTCCACTAGGGTTCGATACGAAGTAGGTTTCCTTCCCGCTCATCATCAAATCTCGTTTGACCATTAGCTTTTTATCCTCAACTTGCATTACCCGGATTTTATCAAACAGTTCATTTGTGACCTTAAGCATTCCTAATATCACACTATGAGGCCTTATCTGAACCTCCAAGTTCATATCTCTGAACTCTTCAATCAGTTTCCCTTCTCTAACCATCAAAGCCGACACGTGCAAAGACTTCCGACTTAGGGCATCGGCCACCACATTGGCCTTACCTGGATGATACTACAACCCAAAATCGTAATCCTTAAGGAATTCCATCCACCTTCTCTTTCTCATGTTGAATTCCTTTTGATCAAACATGTACTTCAAACTCTTGTGGTCGCTGTATACCTCAAATCTCACGCCATAAAGATGGTGCCTCCAAATTTTTAAGGCAAAGACCACTATAGCTAATTCCAAATCGTGGGTAGGGTAGTTTTGTTCGTGCGTCCTCAACTATCGAGAAGCATAGGCAACAACCTTCCCTTCTTGCATCAACACACAACCCAAACCTTGCTTGGAAGCATCACAATATACACTGAAGTCCCAATCAGTACAAGGAAGAACTAACAATGGCGCCGTAGTCAACCTTCGTTTCAACTCTTGAAAACTTTATTCACAACGAAGTGTCCATACATACGGTTCTCCTTTCCTAGTGAGTTTGTCAATAGTAGTGCCAACTTCGAAAATCCCACAATGAATTTCCGATAATAACCCGCCAAACCATTTCCGATAATGTCCGAGAAAGTTTACCGATTCCAACCAGAAATCACATTTTGACAACTTCGCATACAACCGATTCTTACTAAGAAGTTCTAGAACTATCCTCAGATGCTCAGCTTGTTCCTCTCGGCTTTTGGAGTAAACTAGAATGTCATCAATAAATACTACTACGAATGATTCCAAATACGGATGAAAAATCCGATTCATGTAGTCGGTAAATATTGTTGGGGCATTCGTTACACCAAAAGGCATAACCAAATATTCAAAATGTCCATACCTTGTCCTATAAGAAGTTTTAGGAATATCTTCCGACTTCACACGAAGTTGGTGGTAACCTGACCAAAGATCAATCTTTGAAAACACTACCGCCTCTCTCAACTGATCCATCAAGACATCAATCCGAGGCAACAGATACTTGTTCTTAATGGTAACTTTGTTTAACTGTCTGTAGTCGGTACACAACCGCATACTACCATCTTTCTTCTTAACCAAAAAAACGGGCGCACCCCATGGCGAGACACTAGGACGAATAAACTTCTTTGCCAACAAGTCCTCAACCTGCTTTTTGAACTCAGCTAACTCTAACGGTGCCATCCTATAAGGGGTTATAGAGATGGGTCCCGTTCTAGGTACCAAGTCATTAGAGAATTCAGCTTCTCTCACGGGAGGCAATTCCGGAATATCACCTGGAAATACCTCAGGA